TCATATAAAGAAAAGAAAATCTTAATGAGTCACGTGAAAAACTGTGGTCTCATAGACTGTTGCAATTCAGATTTTTGGAAGCTTCATATCTATACAGCCCGGCAAATATGAAGGATCAAAACAACATAAATTACTGCACAACAAATTTACAAATCAAACGCTCATCTGAAAAGATCCGCACATAAAACACTTTTACGAATGAGTTACCAAAGCTGTAGGCCTAGGCCTACATCATGTAGCCCAAAGAAGAGGGGGTCAACTTTCCCGTGTTGTGTTCTGCAAAAGATCAACCAACTACCTACAGGTCCACTTGGGCCAATACATATTCAATTATTATAGAAAATTCTTCAAATTATCAAATAAGAAAGGTCGAGGGATATAAAGGAATCACATCGTTATTAAAACAAACAACCGATTTCATTTAGATCACCCTTGAAACACCATTCATGATCTGAAAAAATACTATCGTTCATTAAATTTTTCATTCTTGAATTGAATTGAAACAAAGCTGTCGTTGATTGTCATGGATCGAAATAGGCCTATGAAATCTAATTTTATCTAATTTTAAGCGATTATTATGGCGCGAAGCATAACGTAACAGTTTTCACCGTGACGTATTGTCGATATTACGTCACGTTGACAAACTGACGTCATATAGAGAAAATAAAATGGCTTCACGGAAAAACATTTTTCACGATTCTAGAAAGATATGTAAAACATGAAAATATGGAGACTTCAAAACTATTAATAATACTTATTCTTGCGGCTTTCATGTTTGTGGACCCCGGTAAAACATTTAGGATCAGAAATGGTGTAAAGGGCTGGGAACAAAGTGGAACAAATTATGAAAATGATGATTACTACGATGCCGACGAGGACGAGGACGAGGACGATTATCAATATGGAGGAGATGGCGACTATTTAGAATCGCGGGAAAAGCGCTCCTCTAACTCGGATTCACAGGCAATACTCAGCGATTTGAATTCAAGAATCGTAGAAGCTCTGTCCAATTTAGCCCACAACAACGAATTTATTGAAGCATCTGGACAACGTAAATTACCGGACCTAACAACCAATCATCATGTCCAGAAGCGAATCAAACGCTCACCTGAAAATATCAGCACGGAAAACAATTCTACGAATTTACCAAAGATTGAAGATCAGGTAGACCCTAAACAAAAGAGTCAACTTGCCCAGACAATGCAAAGGATCTTACAACTACCAGAGACAAGACCTACATTACCCACAGGTCCACTTGGACCAATACATCTTCAGTTATTACAGAAAATTATCCCCTTTTTTCAGAAACAAAGGCGTAAAGAGATTGCTCTACTCAAAGGAAGGGCATCCTCGAAGCCACAAGACTTACTTGCACCAAAACTGAAAATTGTAGATATTTTAAAAAATAAAATGAATCAGCCGGTACCTAAAGGAAACATAAGGCAAGAAAAGGTCTTCGAACCCCCACCTGATGATATAAAAAATGACATTTTGGAGGCTATCAAATATGGATTCCCTGTGCCACCTAAACATAAAGACATAAGCGAAGAAAGAAGCTTCGAACCCCCACCTGAAGATATAAGAAATGATATTTTGGGGGCTATCAAATATGGATTCCCTATGCCACCTAAAAACAGAGCTGCCTATGTGTATAAAGCAGGGGGCGGTGGTATCCACGTCAGAGCTGACTATAACGCAGGGGTCGGTGGTAATTACGACAAAGCTGAGTCAGCTGACTATAACGCAGCGGCCGGTGGTAATTACGACGATGACGGGAATGATTACATTGATAATGATTATGAATATAATGCGTCAGTAGGTCCACCAGATGTTCTAAGAAGAGAGCCAAAAAGAATAAAACGACAAGCTGACTATCTGTACGCAGCAGGCGTTGGTAATTACGATGATGACGGAAATGATTACATTGACTATTTTACGAAAGAAAGTCAACCTGATGTTCCAACAAGAAAGTCAAAAAGAATAAAACGACAAGCAGGTACTTCGGGCAATGCTTAATTATTTAATAAATACATTTATTAAGTTTATACTTGTGTGTCTTCTTATTATATATCTTTTTTCCAATTAGTAACTCTTTGTACTTTGTAGCTCATTGAAGACTGGGGGTATGGGGAATTACATGAATGAATTAGACTGGGCTAATGAAGACGGGCATACGCCATCAGTGTGCTATGAGAGAAATTTTGCCCGTGCAGAGGCACTACGGTCAACCCTTATTTCATATTCCAGCTGTCAAGAGTTCTTTTACGCGCACGCCAACGTGTACACGGGACTTCAGTTTTTCGCCCCTTCCGAACAACTATATATATAGGAGCCGTCTTTTCCCGGCCCCCCAACCTGCATCACTGACAATTACCTGGGCACAGCATAAAATCATTTTGACGAATGTACAAAATCTGAGAGTGGTAGAAGAGTTCAGTTTTGTTCGTTAATAGACTGTCGAGAATAGATATGGGCAATGATCTTCTTACTTAGAGATACTGGTGATGAACTGATGATCAAATAGTACTATAGAAGTAAGCCAAGCTTGGCTCTTTAATAAATCAACAAGGAGAGGAGGGGGTACTGGGTATTTAGATCTCTAAAGTATTACTGTTCAAATTTAGGATAATTTGTAGGATGTTTAACATCCGCGAGTCATTTCTTTTAAACGGAAATTTAAGGTTTATTTATGGCTATTTTAAAATTTTAGGAGTCCTTCCTCAAAGTGATGAACTGGATTATTATGATTTGACAGATACCGATACCGCCCCTTTCTCTGAAATTAATATTGACGAAGACGAAAACTTTGATATCATGGAAGCTGAGAACCAAGAAGGCTTAGGGGTTCATGATTTGAATCTTTATGAAGGTCCCCGAGCCGAGTTCCCAGCAACAGAAATCCTAACAATAGAACATCAACGGAAGAAAAGAAGTTATGAGACTCATCTTAAACCATTGGGTGGTAAACCGTTTGGGCCATTAGGTAAAGAAGAAGAAGCTGATAGCAAGTTTGGTTCGGCTTTTAATTCAAACCCTTCAGGTACTGCACCTGCAACCCATCTTATAGACATGCTTTTTGAAACGTCTTTATGATTGACATGATAATGCACGGCAGAATATTTCACAAATTTTAAGAAACATGTTTTAATTTACATGTTGTAGGGTTTCACTGTGCGTGAATACCAATTGGTCAAAACTTTAAGACGGTATATTATACGCTTATAGGGTCCGTCGTCAAATTTCAACACATGCGTCCAAACGAACGAAACTGCGGAGTGCGATAGTTCTCGACTCACCCACCTGCCCAGACCGAGGAAGAAAATGTTGACATACTTCAGTATTTCAGTTCATGATTCAATAACAGAAATTTAATTCGTCATTTTCTATCCGTTCAACCCCCTCATATCGAGTTCCGCGGGTTATTCGTTTGCGAGAGAGAGAGAGAGAGAGAGAGAGAGAGAGAGAGAGAGATGGGGCTTAACATCCACTTGACATAAACAAGGTTATTTGGGACTAACATAGTTCAATTTTATTTCAATAATTCGCTTGCGCGTAGGGGTCTTTAGTTTAGCAGAGGGGGGAAACAAGAGGACCCGGAGAAAACCGACGACGTTGGACAGGCGACCCTATACCTTGTCACGTACAACCAGGGAATCTAAACCACGTTAGTTGACTCAATGACATACCTTTATGATACAACGCGCACGCACTAACCATTCGGCCATCCAGCTTCCCCCCCCCCCCCGGCCAATTAATGATTAGAGATAAGAATTATAATACGTTATTTTATTGTTAACATCGTCTTTGTATATACATGTATGTATGTCTGAAGGTACAGTTGAACATTTAAAATTAGCAACAACAAAATATACAATTCATTCCTGTAAATTTCAAAATGGTTTTACTGCTTGTGGTAAGAGACGGAGATTTCAGTTGTATACCGACAACCAATATATCAAGATGCCCAGAACTTTGTTGCCTCACAGAGTTCAAGTAATCCTGTTCCACAACTATACTTCTAATATTTCTTCTTATCGTATATTGTTTTGAGAAATATCATTGGCTCAAAAATTCAATGTGCGGATCCTGCAGGTGAGGGGTCGGGCGGTCTTCTGTCCCCTAAAAATATTCCAAGTGCCATTTTTATCCACGTGTTAAAAGTAAAAGTAACTTAGCATAAAAGTAATGTCTTCGGTAGAATTCAAAAATCATATTATAAAGATGTAAGACCATGATTATTCTAAACATTTACTCAGTTCGCACACAAAAGCATGTTAAAAATGACATATAACCCCTGGGTCAAAGGTGGCCGATCTCGCCTTCCTAATATTAAACCCAAACAATTGAGATCTGTGAGAGATTAGCTGTATGGAATATCTTTGTATTGTCTCACGCCATCTCTAAGACCAAAACAGTTATAGTGAGAAACACAATAACAGATATGGCGGTGATAACATTCTGCAGACGGCTTAGGCGGCATGAACATCATTAATCATGAAACAAAACATTCATATAGTAATGGTGAATAGAACCAAGTATGACTGGAATAGGGGGCCCCTGTCGTCTTCAATAGCACGAAATTTCCTCCTATTGTAGCGTATCCAGACTAGCGTCTGCGGGGCAGCTAACTGGAATTCCGGAAACTGGACTTTATTATTTTCTAATGCCTGACTTTCTAAGAAATATCGATTTAAAAAAAAAATCCAAGAAATATGAATTTTTAAAAAAGTGAGTCTTGTTATCACAGGGAAATTTCAAATTATGTGACATTCTTCGAGACTGCAGAATGGTATTAGTCTCCTGGAAATGAAAAGATCCCTTGTCTTATTGTCCATAACGCTCCGAATAGTAGGTAATACAAACGTAGTCACATAACCACGAACGAATAGATGGTATTCGTAGAATAGCTCAGCGATAATTTGTATATCTCAAAGTTCGGGCTCAAACCAAGATTAAAATTGTTTTATTTAAAACTTGATCTTACATTTCTCTTTTTACAGAAATATCTTGGGAGGAACCGGCAATGCTGGATAATTGTTGGGCTCAGGCCATGTTGGCATCCAGTAATGGGTTTTCCCCGAGTTGTCATAGTGATGGTTCCTTCACAGCTAAACAATGTTATTTACAAAGGTAGGTAAACACCATTCATGTCAGTTCCTCATAAATTCAAATAGAAAAGTTGGTGCGGAAAAATCTGTCCATTACAATATCCGAACCAATGGAGTTTGTGGTTTATCGTCTAGGTCATTTCAGGATTATTATATGGTACCGTGGTACTATTCCAATTATTCCACTAATTATATAAAGAAGGATAAAACGGGAATATAAAATAGTGTAATAATTAACTTAATAAAAATAACAAAGTAGTAATGGTGGGGTCCGAAGAAAACCCATGAAGATGGGCAGGCGACCCTACTCTTTGGGATCAAAACTATGCCACTTGACTCAATGACAGACCTTATGATCTAAAGCGCACATGTTAAGCCACTCGACCATTTTTAATTTCTTGTAATCGCCTATCAACGCATGAATGAACATCCGGACTAAAATAGTATCGAACTTTTTTTTTTTTGTTTTAATCATCTAGGTGAGTGCCTAAAGATCATCATATTAATCAAATTTAAAAGAGGAAACGGCGTATTGACCTTATGCCGCACATCGTATCTTTAAATAACGTTAGCGACTGTCGGGGGCCATATATTGCACTGCATAAATAGATAAGAAGTGATATCAGATGTTAAGCTACTTTGTGCGATAGGTTAGTCCTGAATAATAAAAGAATCAAGTCTGATTTTATTTTTTATCAAGTGTATAATAATGGTCTAATATTGGAACGATATATTTAATCTGTGAATAATACTAGGATCATTATCGACACCAAATGGCATCCAGTAATAAGGGTGGAACTAGGTACATAACCTCTATAAAACACTTACCTGACTTATTAACTATAAAAACACCTGTATTATATAGGTATGTTAATAATTACACACCGGGACACATTATTTAATAACATTAATCGATTTTTAATCGATCTCGCTTGTCCCGGATTTCAACACAAAATCCGATAGCTACTGCTCGGCTAAGGGAGAAGCTCAGGGGTGTTATTAGGTGTTATAGAAAATGTAAGCATGTGCTTACTATGCAAGATCACTTGAACCAGTTTCCGTGTTGGTGTTAAAACAGCCCCCGCCCCCATCATAAAAGCAAACCTCTCAACGTCTTCCATGCCGTTGACCAATTTCAGGGTTAGGGCCAGGGATTCGATCATCCAAATGATCCTGAAGGCAGGTGGGATATGGAGTATGAAGGCATTTAAAACCAAAACATCTTTCTCGTACCCAACGGTGCATGCATTTGGAAGCTATTGAACGCTTGACTGTTGTTTCAGCGATGTGGAAATGTTATACTGGTTATTAATTAATACATGTAGAGTAAGTATGGCGATAAATAAAGATAACTCACTTATCTATCATAAGTTAATGATAAAAAGAACTGGTATATTATGAGATATGTACCATGTTGCCTTTACTTAAACCATATTAACCATAAACAGCGGGAAGTTAATTAAAACATATATTTAAAGGGGTGGTGTCTAATACATCTATTTGTTATTCTTCTTAAAGATGCACAATGTAAGATTTAAATAAAATGGTTGGTCGTTCTTGATATAATAGTTCTTAAAGGGACAATGAAGTATGGATAATATTGAAAATTTCAGTCAGATAACTTTATTCTGAGCGAAGTTAGGAGTGTTTGAAGATGTGTCATAGATTGTTTATTATCGTAGCAACGGTACTTGACAATTGAGACTAATCTCAACTATCTATTTTATCGTTCAATATTTAATAAAATCAAATCCATTTAAATCTCGGCCAGTAGATTATAGGCTTGTCGCGTGAATAAATGTCTAAATAATAGTTTGTATAACATTTGAAACCAAAATAAAGACTTGCAATATATGCAGATTTAGCTTAAGTACATAATGCATCTTTAAATAGAAAAATACTTTGATTTTCAATGAAATGCGAGATTTTATTTCTCTGTTAACAAGACTTCTTTTCATATTGTTATCTCAACCCTAACAATCAAACATTATTACTATATATATAATAAAATACAGAAAACTTCATTTGTAGACGTCCCTTTTTAACATGATGAACGTTAACCACAGCCCAAAACAAGGGTGGTTGACAGATCAGCTATGTAATTTCCGGTGGTAATATCTCTTGTCAAAATATACACGTTTCATCATTTATAATGATATTAGCTTTAAATATAATAAGAACAACAAAAACATACAACCCGACAGGTGGAATCCTGCAACAGAGAAATGTTCACATATTGATGGGCACATGTGTTTTCCACGCCTATTCATTCACGTTTTAATTCGCATTAGTTGTCTTAAACTAGGTTAAAGAGGGAGTCTTAGAGTGTAAAAAGAAAACCCATACAAGTGGTTTTTGGCATATTTTACGAAATTCACTCGTTTGCTTCTTCATACTCAGGGGAGTAAGACGAAGGCTCGCTAACCTGGAGATTCCGTTTAGTTTTCGATCTCGTTGTTGGCCGAGAAAGTTCATCTGGATTTTCCGATGTGGTTGTCCTTGTCAGTGGAGTAGGGCGGAGGGAAAACGTATAGTCGTTTGTATGGGACGAAAAACCAAGGTCCCGTGTACCACTGTACCTACACATTGACGTGCACGTAAAAGAACACTTGGCAGTTGGAATTCGATATAAGAGTAGGCCGTAGCTCTGCTGTCCGGGCAAAATCTCCCTTATAGCACACTGCGCGGCGTTTGCCCGTCTTCATATAGCCCAGTCGGAGTAGAACAGTAGGACGTTAAACCCCATTTCATTTCAAAATCAGAATTTTCTTTCACATCTAAAGCCAATAAGAAGAGGTTTTATATTCTATTTCATTGTAAACCTATAAATTACAAACTTTCAATCCATATTACAGCCCTTGATCTCGTCGTCGACTGGATAAAAGTCTAATAGTGGGTGGTGATTGGCATAGCAGGAACGACGACTAAGGGGAAGCTACTCTTGATAGTGTTCTCCAAAATAAATATTGCTCCAGGATTCAGACTAGTAATCCCCCCCCCCCCCATTGCTTTTGAAGTCAAATCCACACCATGCCTTAGCCTTAAAGTTATAAAATTGTTTTGTACAAAAAGCCGAACTACGAGCCTGTGTCCTTAAACCCAATCCCACTTGAATATTTATAATATTTATCAAATAATAGTTATTTTAAAGATACATTATGGGAGATTAGATAAAGAGCAGGCAGTTCTCTCTATAATACTTAAAAACTAGATACTGTAAAGGCAATTTGCTGAAAATTTCAGTCAAATTGATCCACTCTGAACCGAGAATTTAGCGATTGAATTTTCGGCCTAGCCTCGATGATCATTACTAAAGTCGGTACGATAAAAAGCATAGTCTCGATTATCCATTTTTTGATTTAATCATCAATGAGCGTTGAGCAGCAGATCGGATTCCAATCCAGTAAATATCGCAGGCTAGCGATGCCATTGAGATTTGATTATGGTCTAGATAATTTAATTAATGTCTAATTAATAATTTAGAAAACATTTCAGGTCTAAAGAAAGACCTGCAATAAGCAGATCTAGCTCTTGCATAATGTATGTTTAACAAGAAGATTTAAACATACATTATGCAAGAGCTAAATCTTCCTATTGCAGGTCTTTCTTTAGGCCTGAAATGTTATCTAAATTATTAATTAGACATTAATTAACTTATCCAGACCATAATCAATTCTCGATGGCATCGCTAGCCTGCGATGTTTATTGGATTGAGTTCAAATTTGCTGTTTGACTTCCATTCATAATTAAATCATGAAATGGATAATCGAGACTATGTTTTTTTATCCTATCGACTTTAGTAATGATGATCGAAGCTAGCCCCAATATTCAATCGCTAAAATCTCGGTTCATAGTGGATCAATTTGAATGAAATTTTCAGAAATTCCCTTTACATTATCTAGTTTTTAACTGTAACAGTGAGAACTGCCAGCTCTTTATCTAATCTTACGTATCTTTCATATTGATCACCTTTCAATCAATTCATAAATTTCTATGATAAGCTTTTGACACTATTCATATTAGAGTTTACAAAAAAGACCCTAGCTTTAATTTTTGAAGAATTTATATCATGGCACAATATCATACGGTCAACCTTTAATTATATTATATGTAGGAAAGTAACAAACACACTAACGTAAATGGGTGGGGCAATGCACCGCCATAATTTTGTGTATATCATTATTATATATTACATGTATCCTCACGATCTCAAATATTTTCATAAACCTGAAGTCATATATTGACGTTAAAAGGCGCACTAGGGTGCAAGTTGTTTTATTCTTGCAGCGAGTACATGTAAGTTGAATAATTTTAATAATAACATCATTATGAAAGTATATTTCTTTACTAAAGTACAGCGTGTGAAGAATGGGGATCTGGATTGGTCGAATAATGTTTTCTAGGAACGAGGGCCAGTTAAGGAAAGTCTTCTGCAAGGGGGAAGACACCTTGATTTTATTGTATATGAGTACACGTAATAGTGAGATAAATAAAACTTATTGGCTTTCCCATTGTTAATTTGACAGACACGTGTTTTTATCACCGAAAGGGTGAAAACAAAAACTTAATATCATTTATTACGGTTGGTATAAATTTAAGATAATGTCAAATGAACAGCTTATTTAGCATACTTATAGACGATGAGATTAATTTCAATGTTTTAAGAGATTTTAAAGATTAACTTTATTTCTAATATAAATTGAAGGGACTGGTTCATATAGACTAACGGTTACTTACTGTCACACTTTTGGGGTTGATTTTTCTATAGTCAAGTAGTTAAGAACAGATCATAGCACTAAATTCAGAATACATCCACCTATGTTTTTGGAACCAGTTGTGATCTGTGACTGGTGTGTTGAGCACGAGGCATGATATGCTCTCCTTACTCTTCCGTAACATCCATTACCACTTGCTACTGGCCCTATATGAATGGAAGGAGCCACGGTGCTGGCTCGCTATCATGGGGGTCGCGGGTTCGATCCCGGTGTTGGCCGAGGAAGTTCATCGGGATTATCAGTGGTG